GGTGGCCCAAATATATGTCCGCATAAAATCTCTGGAACCTGTGAATGTTTGGAAGAGGGCCTTTGCAGGTGTAATCGTTAAACTAAAGATCTTGAGATCATCCTGGATTATCCGGGTCAGCCTTAAATCCAATGACAAGTGTCCTTCTAAGAGCAAAGCAGAGGGAGGGGTGACACAGAGAGAAGACACAGAGGGGAATTCATATGTAGAGGAAGGCAGAGATCAGGGTCATGCAGCCACAGGCCATCACGAGCTGGAAGGGGCAAGGGAGAGCTCCCCCAGAGAGCCTCTGGAGGCAGCGTGGCCCTGCTGACACCTTGCGTTTGGACTTCTGGCTTTTGCAACCGTGAGAGAGTAAGTTTCTGCGGTTTTAAGGCCCCACTGTTAGAGCAGATTCAGGAAACTGATACATTTACAATCTCTATGGATACAATCAATCAGAAAAAAAAAACCAACAACAGTAACAAAAAAGATAAGGATCCCAGAACAGATAAGCAAAACATGGTATATCTATATAATGCAATATCAATCGGTCTTTAAGGAAGGAAATTCTGGTACATGCTACAACATGAATGAACCTTGAGAACATTGTGCAAAGTAAAATAAGCCACACACACACACAGCCCTGGATACTCTCTGATTTCACCTGTATGAGGTGCCTAGAGTAGTCAGCTTCACAGAGAAAGAGCAGGATGGTGGTCGTCAGGGCTGGACCGGGGGAGGGGAATATGGATTTACAGTTTAGTGTCTCCACTCCACAAGCGGTAAAGGGTCCTGGAGGTGGATGGTGGTGATGGGGGCAGCACCTGATGGATATATTCAATCCCACTGAACTGTACACCTTCAAGTGATGAAGATGGTAAATTTTAGGTCAGGTGGATTTTACTGCATTTTTTAAATGCAAGGGGAAAAAACCAAAAGGCGGGGATCAAAGTTTTACAGATTCATAATCATAACGTTTCAGTGATGGGGTCGGAGAGTGACAGCACAGGAGGAGGGTGGAGTGTTGAGACTGTCCTGGTTTATAGGGGTCACCAAGCCAAGCTGACTCAGAAGTTGGTCAATTGTCAGTGTGCTTGCTACACAGGCGGGACATTTTTCTAGATCACACCCTTCTGAAGAGGTAGGCACGCCCGCTGGGTGGGTCTTAACTCCACCAGGAAGTTTGTACAAATGACTCCCAAAAGCCCCAGCTCTGCAGGCACTGTGTGTAAAGCCTCCACCACGTCCAGGGGACAGATGGACCTCACTGAAACCTGAAGCCAATACGGGGAGGAGTTCCAGCAGCCACCTCAAACCCCACCTCTGGGTGGGGGAGCCGGAGGAAGCGGATGTTTCTGCAAAATGGCCTGTTCCTGGAGCACCTGGGGCTCAGTTGGTTAAGCGACTGCCTTCGGCTCGGGTCGTGATCCCATGGTCCTGGGATCGAGCCCTGCATTGGGCTCCCTGCTCTTGGGGAGCCCGCTTCTCCCCCTCCCTCTGCCTGCTGCTCCCCCTGCTTGTGCACTCTCTCTAAATCTCTGTCAAATAAATAAATAAAATCTTTAAAAAAATAGCATGTTCTTGGATCTTGTATATTTTATACATTCCTTCTCATAGCTATTAAACAAAATATGTGGTCATGAACAGCACCCCTCTGCCTGCTGCCTCCCCAAGTCTTTTTCTTTTTTTTAATTTTTTATTTATTTGACAGACAGAGATCACAACTAGGCAGAGAGGCAGGCACAGAGAGAGGGGGGGAAGTAGGTTCCCTGCTGAGCAGAGAGCCCGATGTGGGTCTTGATCCCAGGACCCTGAGATCATGACCTGAGCCGAAGGCAGAGGCTTAACCCACTGAGCCACCCAGGTGCCCCTCCCCAAGTCTTTTTGAAGAACACAGTTCCATCCGTGGACTGAGTCAGCTGTTTCGATCCACGCCTTCTGTAAACGTGGCTGGCTCAAATCTGGGGGCTAGGGTCGGTGCCTTCCCACCACTTTTCCTACAGTCAGACATCTGGGAGATGGTTCTGATATTTTATTATTGTTGTTTTAAAATGCAATTTCCTCCTTGCTCCCAATTCAGTGGGTTTATTTCAGTTTTATACAGACCAAACTTGGGAACCCCAAAGGAAATGCTGTGCCCCACCCTCTCCTGAGCTCCGGGGAGGGAGAGAGACATTCAGAGGATAGGTGGGGAGCACCCACCACCGCACTCTGAATCTTGTGGTCTGACCGCCTTTACTTCATGATGCCCTCTAGGGTGCTTCACCGAGGGCCAAAAACCCAGCACTGACCACATTTGGGCCAACTATTTTTTTTTTCTTTTAAAGATTTATTTGACAGAGAGAGCAAGCGAGCACACAGGCACGGGAAGCAGCAGCAGGAGAGGGAGAGGCAGGCTCTCTGCTGAGCAGGGAGCCAGATGCAGGGTTCCATCCCAGGACCCTGAGATCATGACCTGAGCCAAAGGCAGACACTTAACCATTTGAGCCATCCAGACACCCCTGGGCCAACTCTTTTTTTTTTTTTTTTTAAAGATTTTATTTATTTATTTGAGAGAGAGACAGTGAGAGAGAGCATGAGCGAGGAGAAGGTCAGAGGGAGAAGCAGACTCCCCATGGAGCTGGGAGCCCGATGTGGGACTCGATCCCGGGATCATGACCTGAGCCGAAGGCAGTCGTCCAACCAACTGAGCCACCCAGGCGTCCCTGGGCCAACTCTTAAAACCATTGAAAAGGCCATGAAAACTCCTTCTGGCCAACTGTGTGTGGAGGGTGGGTCCACCTCTCTGGTCACCGCACCCCCTCCCCCAAATCTCCTACTGTTTTGTGCCCTGAGCTCAGCAAGAGTCCCTGTCTCTACCCTCACCCCCTTTCCAACCATTTTTAAAGAAATTTGAGGTAAAATTCACATCCCATAAAATTAACCCTTTAAATGTGAATCATTCTGTGGCACCGAGGACAGTCACAATGTTGTGCATTTACTGCCTCTATCTTGTCCCAAAACACGCCGCCGCTCACTCCCATCGGGGACTGGTGAGCACTTAACACTGTTTCCTGACCCCTGCCCCCCAACTCCACACAATCACCAGTCTGCTTTTTGTCTCTGCAGGTTTACCTCTTCTGGACATTTCTTCTAAATGGAAGCAAACCACACACAGCCCTTTGTGTCTGGCCTCTTCCCTTAGCATAATGTTCTCGAAGTTCATCCCTGTGGTAGCAGGTGTCAGAATTCCTTCCTTTTTAAGACTGAGGGTTATTCCCTGTCTTTATATCCACATTTTGTTTGTCCATTCATCCACGTGTGGACACTGGGTCGTTTCCGTCTCTGGCTGTTGGGAACAGAGCAGCCGTGGATGTGGTTCTGCGTGTGTCTGAGGACTCCCATGCATTCTGGTTTATTTTTTTTTTAAGGATTTATTTATTTATTTCAGAGAGAGAGAGAGAGAGAGAGAGAAAGCACGAGCAGGAGGGGCAGAGGGACAGGGAGAAAGAATGTCAAGCAGACTCTGAGCTGAGTGCAGAGCTCACCACTACCCTGAGATCATGACCTGAGCCAAAACCAGGAGTTGGACGCTTAACCGGCTGAGCTACCCGGGCGCCGCCCCGTGCATTCTTCACACAGCAATGTGATCCCGTCACGCTTGACTCTAACCACAGTCACTTCAACGGCTTCCCACCATTCTTAGGAGAAAGCCCCAAGTCCTGAGTGTGACTCTCGAAGTCCTCATGCTCTGACCGGTCACGGGCCCCAGCATCACCTCTCACACCTGCACTCCTGCCCACCTGACTTGTTTCTGCTGTCCTTGTCCTCACCTCTGGGCCTCTCTGGAGGCCCCTACCCCTGGGTAAAAGACAACTGCCCCTAACAGTCACTTCCTTATCTCCCAAATCCAGGTAGCTACACCAGGTCCTAGCACAGAGCCGACACTGGCCCTTCTACGTCTCCTGGAAAGAAAGGCAGCCCCGAGCTTGCCGTGGGGTTAGGAAAGCCGTGCTAGACCTCGCTGTGCAAGCCCACAGAAGCTGCCCACAGACACTTGAGGGCCCGTCAGATTTATGCCCGGTGTCTCTGAAACACGCCCTGCTGGGAGGTTTGAATGGCTTATGTGGCGTCGGTGCCCTGGTGTCTGTGGAAGCTGCAGGACCCGTTGGTGGCCTTCCCAGCTGCTGGGCGTCCTGACTTACCTCTGCCATGACACATTCTCCACCCTGAAGTGTGGGACGAATATGAGGTAATCTTGTTTTTTTTTTTTTTGTTTTGTTTTGTTTTTTTAAAATCAGATCTGGTTAACACCCCTCAGGCCGGGGTAAAGTGGGGCACTGACTCCCTCTGAACTCTGGCCCCTCATTCCACAGGAGGGGCTCTGGCTCCTGAGGGGCCCCACTCCACCCAGAGGCAGCACTGGTGGGGCCGCTGCTGAGAAAGCAGGAACCAGGCTCGGTGGCACGAGAGTCACACCTGAACCTGACAGGCTGTGGCTCAGCCCAGCCCACAGGGTGTTCTGGGTCACACAGGATGTGGTTTTTTTAAGGGTGGGGAAGTGTCTGCCTTCACCTTTCACCCTCCCTTCCTTTGCTTCAGTTCTGAGCCCCTGCTCCGAGTCTGTACGCTCTCACACGTACGTGCACACGCACATACATATGCACTCCCACAGAGGCACACACACGTGTGCACAGTTCTCACATGCAGGCACACATGTGGCTCTAACACACTCTTCACTTCCCATTTTCTGACGTCTAAAAATAGTCTCATGTAACCCTTCCTTCTCCATAATTCCTCATCGTCCCCTTATCACTTTTGGTAAATTCTCCATCATTCCAGTTGCGTGTGAACATTGAGTAAAAACTGCCTCTGAAGACGACCCCTCAGGTTAAATCTCTGAGAGATCCGTCATTGACAACTACTCTCCTTCCTACAGAGGTGAAGACGGAAAAAAAAAAAAAAAGGAGTAAGAGCCTCTTTTGTGTTTCTGACGACTTCTGAGGAAAATGACAGTAGCTTTGACGGCAGCCACTTACCTCCAGGACTTTCCCTGTGATAAACTGGTGACAGGCCTCGCATTTCACCCCGAAGAGCCCCTGGTAGTCCTTTTCACAGTACGGAGCGCCATCCCTGCAACACAGAAGGCTGTTCAGCTCCTGAGAGGGGGCTGAGGGGCAGGGAAGACACCAGGACCCTATTTCTCGGAGCCCTTCTCCACAGAATGGAAGCAGGCCGTGCTTCTCCCCCGCCCAGCATTTGCATGCCTGGGGACCTGGTCAGACATGATCACAACGCAGGGACCCAAACGATGTGGACAGAGGGCTGTGGTTCTCTGGGCTACACAGAAATTACAGCCAAATCACCACATGATTACCACTGCTGCTTCCCTGTTGTCTCAAACAGCAAAACACGGGCACCATTCCCTCTCCCCACCAGCCAGATGGGCTTCAGATGTGGTAGCAGTGTTCACCCTCCTCTGAGGAGGCCCCAAGGCCACCTTCCCCTCACAGCTTCCTTGAGCTCACATGCCAGGCCCTCCCAGCAGCACTGAGATGCCGTGTCCTCCGCCCTCAGGAAGCCCGAGGGGCACAGGGCCTTCTCATCCAGCCTCTCAAAACCTCTTTATTAACCTCAGAGGATAGTAAACATGTAGTTTTCTAGGTGTGCCCTTGAGGGGAAAAAACCAAAAAGCAGCACTGCAGAAAGCCCAGTTACCTACTCCCACACAGCCTACCGGGCTAGTTTAACATCCGGGCACTTTCCTGTCTCTTCTTTCTTTGGCTGCGCGTCAGAAATCACCTGTGAAGTTTCTTCCTTCTGATACAGGTGTTTTGGCTTCTCCCCGACCTATAGAGTTGGATTTCCAGGGGGTGGGGCCCATGCTACTTTTGCGGTTGTTGTCTCACTCTATTCTTAAATTAAATTCCCTTAATTTTTTGAAAATTTTGAACATTTTCTGAAGCATAGGTTTATGGGGGAAAATTTTCCCTCATTGCCACTAGACCCCCCCATACTCATTCCTTCTTTCCTTAACTCAAAAGGTAACCACTGCCAACTGGCTTCTCCAAGCTGCGTTAAAACGCCACCACCACCACCACTTCCCCTCCTCCAGCTGTTATCTGCGCCGGCATCGGACTCTAACAGGAACCCATTCCTGGCAGGTTGTTTGGTGCGTTGGTTCCAATGGGTTCAGTGCTTAGACCCTGTGTGGTCTCCTTTAGGGTATGTGTGTGTGGGGGGGGTGTCTACAAATACGTTCAAGACCTAGAAGGTGGTCAAAGGTTTACTAGTTCCAAATAGGAAAAAAAAAAAAATAGGGAAAGTAAAATGACTAAATGCTTAATTGATGACAACAGATAGTGCAACATTATGTCAGCTTTGCTAATTGCTGAATGAGGCAAGGATTCCCACTTCATTAAATGTATTGCAGGCAGACTATGGCAACAGCCTCAGAATAAAATTCCTGAAAACTAAAGAAGTTGTACAGCAGAAGTTCGCACTGAGGGTGGGATGCATATGTCTCTCATTCTGTCCCGTGGGGGGGTGGGGGTGGGGCTGGGACCCCAGCCTTACTTGCTGATGTACTCGCCGGTGAGAACTTTCCCGCAGGACTTGCACTTGAAGCACCCCAGGTGCCACTGCTTGTCCAGGGCCAGCAGCGCCTGCCCGTTCTTGATGTCTCTCCCGCAGCCGGCACAGTCTGGAAAAGAGCAGCCGCTCACCATTACTCCCCGTTTTTTCTGCAAAATCCAAGCACGAAGCCCAGCTCTGAACCCCGGTGTGTGCCCGCCTGCACCCAACAAACAGTTACTTAGGCACCACGTCCTTCCCCTCCTTTCCCTGTATCCTGTCTTTCTTAGCCTCACACAGCTTGGGAGCTTCAGGGACCCCAGTGGATCCAGGGGATGGATGTCCTTCCTCCGTACATTGCCTTCGTGGTGACTGACATACCCCGAGCTCCAGCTGGCCCACAGAACATTTCATTACGCTGTCCTGGCTGTGATCTTTGGGAAGCTCTCCTACGCTTCTATGAATTGAGGGCACATGTGAGTAGTTGAGCATCACGTGCTGAACACCTCACCCAACGATATATATGGGACACCTGGAAAGACGCCCGTGAATCTCATTTTTGTTCATGGGACTTTCCTGCCTTATCATCCTAAACCAGACTTTGGAAGATGCGTGACCATCAATTGAATAGCTCTTAATTCCTTAGCTTTACATTCTCCGTGGCAGGCTCCTGTGAAGCAGATGAAGGAGAAAGTGTTTCTTTGTGGTAAAGGGTGTGGGCTCTGGAAGGAGCTGTCCTGGTTCCTGGGTCCCAGCCCAGCTCAACAACTTGTTGGCCCGCCACGTGACCCAGGCCAGTTCTCTCCCCTTCTAAGCCTTGGTTTCCTCGTATGGAAGCTGGGGCCTTATGAGGGCCTGTCTCAAACCTCCGATGAGGATTCAATGAAGTAATGGTTAGCACTGAGGCTGGCACATGGGAAGTGGCCCTGTAAACATTTCCTATTATTATAATCGCCATTATTCTGATGATTAAATACCTCGTTGTTAGGAAGTTGAGTACTTAAAAGAACCCAGAAGAAGGTAAACTGATGCAACCTTTTGGAAACATCCACTGACAGTTAAAATCAACGCAGCTGAGCAAACGAGACCCAGCTTTGCCGGGAGGTTGGCCATAGTGTCCCTGCAGATTAGAAGAAACACGGAATATAGCAACGCCCAGACAAGGCCAGTCGGCGCACAGAATGATGAAACACCCCCCTCTTCCGACCACATGTGTGACTGCTGCTCCTTTACTAGTGACACTCCTAGCCCTATTTCAACTCTTCTCTCCTCCTAGAAAAACTTGGTGAGATGCGCAACCATGGACCTGTTCCTGTGTCTTGACAGCACCCCGCCCAGAAGGGCTCCCGCTGCCCAGCCTCCCCCTTAATACCACCCACCAAGTGCTCCCATCCTATGACATTTCCTCCAGAGAGACTCACGATGACTCCCCTGCTGTTCTCCCTTGCTGCGGCTTACATTAATTTCACTACTTTTCCTTTTCTTTTTTTTGACTACAGGCATGTTTCTGGTGAACTTTGGTCAGTGGGTATCAATCAATATACCTTTAGATCCAGCAACTTCCTGTATAAGATTTTAGTCTACAAAACAAATTTCAAAAGAGTATGTGCGCGCGCGCGCGTGTGTGTGTGTCTGGCATGTGTCCATGTATGTATTTCCTGAGGAAAATAAATTAATTTCCTATAGCACTTTTGTAACAACAAAACTGAAAAGAGCCAATGGAGCCATACTGAGGAGCTGGTTACATCAATTATGGTAGAATCTGGAATAGAGGAATAGTATGTATTGTTAAAAAGAATGAGGTCAGTTTGTGTGCTGACATGGAAAAATGTTCAAAATAGATTAATTTTTAAAAAAAGCAACCTATGGAACAGTGTATGTAGCATAAGTTAATTTAGAAAAAAACAGTAAAGGCTCTATATGTATTTGCACACATGCTTGTATAGGAAACAACACATTTCTTGAAAAAAAAAAATCTTAAGATACTTTTCTCTGTGAAGGAGGACTTTTTACTTCGTGTCCTCTGTGTTGTTTGAATTATTTTTTTGTTATCATAAGAATGTAAAAAAAATGCAAATATTTATAAAGTTAAAAATATAATTGCTATACAAGTTCTAAATTATTCCAGATTAAGATTTCTGTAAGTATTGCCCACTATTAGCTGAATGTGTATTATATGATCACAAAGCATTATGTAGTTTTTTTTTTTTTTAACTAGAGTTTATGTTTCCCAGCATCTCAACAAAAATCTTTATGAAGGGGATATCACACCTGGTAGTTTACTACAAGTTGACTAAGTGGAAGGCCATGATATTTGCTCATACGTACAATTTTTAAAGGTTAGGAGCATGGGATCAGTAAGGTGAATTGACAATTTTTTTTTAATTGACAATTTCTAATCCACGTTGAACTGATTTTTTTTAGTTCTTCTGATTAGATCACGACCACTAGGTGGCAGTAAAGATTTACAATAATAAGGAAGATGCCGGGTTGGGTTTTTTTTTTTTTTTTTTTTAAGTCAGAAAATAAATTTTAGAGATGGCTTTCAATTTTAGATACTGAAAACAGTAGGGCTCAGGAGGGTTGGCAGAGCCATATGGGGTCTGTCCCTGCACAGTGCTGAGATCTAGGGAGATGGAAGGCCTGGGGATGGTAAGAGCCCAGGCTTTGGAATTAGGACACCAGGATTAATTTGGTCAAGTTACCGTCTCTGAATCCCCTCTTCTTCATGTGAGAAATGCCAGCTGTGACATGCTTTGCATAATACTTAGAATGCCTGGTCCATGTTAGCCTCTCAGTGTGGCTCTACCTTTCTTTGGTGGGAGCAGAGCTAGGACTAGACGCCCCATTTCTGGATGGTTAAGTCTTGCTCTCTTTACATGAATGCCCAGATATCCCAGAGCTTTGAAAGCAGCTGAGACACAATTTGAGAGCGACAGCAACTTCTCTGACCATTCTGCACTGAGGGTTTCGGATGAACCAGGCACCATGTGAGGGCTTTATAGAGAGGGGACCGTTTATTATTCAGTCATATGGTCAGAATGCCTGCCGTCTGGACACAGGTGGTGTCCCACACTTCTCAACTCCTCTGTGCCCTGCAGCGTCCTATGGACGGCAGATGTTCTGCAACTGACTTCGACAATGGTTTACAGAGAAGCATTCACCGAATGCTGAATGTCTAGAGCGAGGCAGCTGGTAAAGTGGGGCCAGAAGCAGAGATGGAGATGAGCCTCCTTCCTCCCAAACCTTTAGACATAAACCAAGCAAATCAAAGACCACCTCCTAGAAGGTAGAATACCGGTCCCACTGGCTGAAACAAACTATTCCGGCATTTGCCGCAGAGGCTGCTCACTCATTCCTTTCTGGACAAAACCATAAATTCTCCACTTATGCCTGATGTCATGCTGGGAAAAGTGGAAAAGATGCAGAGACAAAAGGATTCGTGCTGGGTTGTTCACTCCTCCCATGCTCATCCCAACTAAGCTCTTGTATAAAGAACAAAATGTCCCATTCTGTATCTTCATGGTTTTCAGCTGTTGAGAAAATTGTTTCCACATCACTGAAGCAACTGCCGGTAAATATAGAAAAGCTGGCGATTGGCACAGGAATTATTGCCGAAGTCGGAAATCGGTGACTACGGAGCAGCATCAAGGAAATCAAACCTTCTAGCAACTTGCCAGTATTCCACCAAAAACAAAGAATCACCAGATGTGAGAAGAGAAAAACACAACCACCATAAACACTTTCCCTCAAGCCTTTCATTCGTGGCACCAAGAGCCAAGAGAGGAACAGGAATTTGGTGACTTACGTCTGAGTTAAACTAATATCTAATGACACATCTGGTTCCATATTTGTATCACTTTGTTCCAAGGCCACAAATACCCTTGAGAACAGGGATCCTGACTGTCTCCTTTTTTTTTTTTTTTTGGAGGGGGGCATCAGGTCACGCACACCTGGGCTTTGAAAGTATTGAAGTTGAAGAAGGTGACAAATGGCTCTCAGCGAGAAAACTTTTTGTGTTCCCAAGCCGAGAAAGATGTCCTCACCTGGACAGCACTTAAGGTCCTATCAGATTGATACCTATTTTCTCCTTGACAACGATTTCTGCCTTTTAAGAATTTCTCACTTGGGAAAAGTAGGGCCCAAATGATGTCTTACTCTGTGAGGAAGCCTCTCTGGAGAAGAGGACGGAGGACGTGGAGCTCTAGAAAAGAAAACCAGGTAGAATAAATATTCCATCTCCTAAAGAAGGATGCCAGGAATATCCTTGAGGACTTTCCAAAAAACGTAGGTTCACCTGATGATTACCAACCCCCATTTCCTACCTACTTCTGAAATCAGAAATTTGAAAGTGCATGGAGGAGTTAGCAGGGAGCTGTCCACACAGCGGGAGGGTGGGGGGTGTTCTCTCTCCTCTGCTGTGACAGGGATTAGAGGACCCTGGGAGGAAGGACCTAGAAGTTTACTGAGTGGGGAAGCTCAGGCCCTAGCACTCCTATGGGTCCAAGAGAAGCTTGGTGTTAGAGTTCTTGGAACAAACTCATTTGAATATCCTATACCTTGGAAGCATTCATAACCAGAAAAATCTAAAGCCTGCTGAATTCGGAAGATTTGGAAGGCAGGAAGCTGGTTGGAGTCTCCCCGCCCCACGTTCACTTCCACCATTTGGCTCATTGTGGGATGCACTTAAGTCTTGTAGCTGGTACCCACGCCCAAGCATCTAGAACGAACCCACCGGAGAAGGTTGCCTGCTGAGGCTTGGGGACTTCATTAGTAAGAGGGTAGAAGACTACAAGAAGCAGGACCTGAGGCTGGGAGGTGGGGGGAGTTTGTTGCAAGAGGTTAACCTGAAAATGCATGCTTTTGTCAAGGAACTCAACGTGCACCCCCATAAGAAATGTCTCCAGCCAGTGTTAGCTGAGAGAGCAGCGTGACAATGCCAGGTTCCTAACACCTCGTCCCTTCTACTTCCAATCCCTCTTGTCCCTGACTGGCCGACAAAGGAGCCACAGGACAGAAAGGAGGTAAAGAAAGAGTGGAAGATGTCGTGTCCACTGTCGGTCTCTACTTTGGGTCGGGTCTGAGCTGGGCCAGAGTGTAGCTCTGAAATGGATATGAGGATCCAGTCGG